CCTCACAATTTTTTTCTTTTTCTAAGGTTTTACTTCATGTAGTAATGTATTACATAAAATTTAAGAAGTATTATAGTTAAATTAGTTTTTCACTTTCAATAGTAAGAAAAAGGCAATAATACGCTCTGTGTACTCGCTTTGTCTAAGGTCGCTTTTTTTTGATAGAAAACGGGCCATGTCAAAGGCGGAGAGGAGGAAAGATATCAAGAGAAAAGAAGATTTACAAGCCAGATTCAAATTTGCATTATCTCAAAACAATTCCAAAGTTAGCAACTGGCTAAAGGCACCCACAGATCAAGACCTAAACGAGAATAGAGATAAATCATTTTTGGACTTACCGGTTATTCAGAATGGTGGCGGTCTTTCGTCCTCGTCATACGAAAGCGGTCGAAGAGTTAAAGACTTCATCAGTGCTGATAATTCGATGATTCAAAAATCTCAGAAGCATGACAAGCTTGCTCCTAAGCAACAAGGTAGTTCAAGAGCCTTAGACTCGTTAATGAATAGAATGAGAAGTGAAAATAGAAGTAAAGTTAAGAAAGCGACAACGTCAAATGACCAAAAGAGTATATCAACCTCGGCTAATTCGAATAATTCAAATCAAAGTAATAAGAAGGATGTGCATGAAGAAGATAGCGATGATGACGATGCTCTAAGGCATCGAACAGTACGCAAAGGATCGAATTTGTTATTTGAAAGTAAGATGAAGAAGTCAAGGCGACCGTTTTAAAGATCTACTTTACAAAATCCCATCTTATAATCGTATCGTAGTATTTGTTTGGTTTTTGAAGATTAATCATATCAAAATATGGTGCTAAATATTACTAATCTAATTAAAGATATAAGAATAAGCATATCCTCATACTCAATTATATAGGTTTTCTCTTTTCTCTTAATAATAGCCGTCCGTTTAGCATGTCAGATATTTTTATCATATCTGTCCAATGTACTTTCTTTCCCTTCCTTAGTAAAACATTAGCATCATGATTGTAAAGTTCCTCAACGTCTGTAAATCTAACCTGGGCTCCTTGAATTCCAATCACAACGGAATTATTCTTGGTTGAATTCCATTCTTCAATATATTCAACTGATTTTACAGCAAATCTAACGGCTTGAACCCTATCCATCGAACTAGGTGTAAATCCTTGTTGAACATGACCTGGTATTGCGGTTCTAGTTTCGAATCTACCATTAGCGCTTTCTTTGATGATATCAGCAATCAATTCGGATGTATAAACAGAACTTGCTTGCTCATTTCTTATCATCATTTTACCATTTTTGTCCTCTCCTCTATCATTCCTAAAAACATCATACAACAATTGGATATCTTCTTGAATAACTCTCAAATTGATCTTTGATTCCGGAGTGTAAGTTGCAATAGAACCTGTCACCAAACCACAATAAGAAGCAACAAAACCAGAATGACCACCTTGAACCTCTACGACGAAGACTCTCCGCCTCGATGAGGATGCTGATTGCATAACGGCGTCACAATAATCAACCAATTGATTTAAGCAAGTATCAGATCCCAAAGAATATTCAGTTCCAGGCACATTATTGGAGACTGTTGCAGGTATAACAATCTTTGGAATCCCAAATATGGGATAGCTTGGCTCTTTTTTCCTCAATTGATGTAAAGCCGTGAAACCTTCAAATCCCCCAATGATTAATAATCCTTGGATATTAAACTTCTGCAAGTAGAAGGCAACCTTTCCATAATCTTCTGAAGGTAAAGATCTATTGGTACCAATCTCAGAGCCCCCCTTATTATTCCAGCTCTCAACATCTAGCCACTTAAGTTCTTGAATTGATCCTGTTGCTATAAATCCTGAAAATCCATTGCAAATTGCAAATGCTTTGTGACCTTTCGATAAACAATAAAGAGTAGCCGCTCTTGTTGCTGCATTCAATCCGGAAGACGGTGCACCAACGTGGATTATACCAATATTTAATGGATTCGAATTCTCTGGTTCTTTTGGGCCATTAATTGAGGTAGCCATGAAATTTTTATAAGCATCTTCAAAATTACAATCTCTCAAACTAATTGCTTTCTCAAATTCCTTATTTTCAATTGCGGTCGCTACAGACTTTGTCAACTTAACCGCTTCAATTAAGGGTTGTCTCACAATTTTGTTCTCTAAAATGCCGATCATGGGAGATGGAGTATCTGGAGTACTTTCCAAAACAGCCTTCACGGCTTCTACACCTTGCATTGTTGCCAACATCCTATCATATGCAACAGCTGTTCCTCCTCTTTGAACATGTCCAAGTGTCGTGATTCTTGTATCAAGCCCCATTTCCACTAAGAAATTCTTTACTTGCTCAGAAGTTATTGGATTGAGATCATCATCTATTGCACCTTCGGCAACTATGACAGTCGTCTTTCTTCTACCTTTTTGTCTATGGGTAAGACAAACTTTCTTCAAATCATCTTTCCATTTGCCTGCTGGAGGAGGACGCTCAGGTATAAATATAAAATCTGCACCCGTAGAAATACCTGCCATCAAGCCTAGCCAACCACAGTGTCTCCCCATTACTTCTACCACAAATGCTCTTGAATGAGAAGTAGCAGTCGCGTCAATGAAGTCTACCATTTCTGTTATTCTGGCGAGAGCTGAGTATGCACCAATTGTAGCATCTGTACAGGCCATGTCATTATCAATTGAGCCAACCAAACCGCAAATCGTTAAAGTTTTAAACGGCTCTATCTGTTTTGATGTTAGTTCTTTCTTGTCAACCAATTCCTTTAATAAAGAGGGCCATTCACCTCTGAATATATCTGCGCCCGTCAATGAACCATCTCCTCCGCAAACGATCAATGCATCAATGCCATTTATAATCATGTTGTAAGCTGCTTTAAGTCTTCCGCTATGCTCCCTAAACTCAGCTGACCTTGCAGTACCGATTGCGGTTCCACCTTCCGCCAATAAAGACCTGACGTCTTTCCAGGACATTTGGCGAAACATATCACCACCTTTAACTAGTCCATCATAGCCTTCATAAATCGCAAAAACATCGCAACCCATGTAAATTCCTGCCCTAACAACAGCTCTGACTGCCGGATTCATACCAGGAGCATCTCCTCCAGATGTCATGATGGCTATTTTTTTCAGCCTTTTCTTTTCCTCTTCTGGTTCTTCTTTTTTCGCTGTCTCAGATTTAGTTTCATGCAAAATCTTATCAGATTTGTATTTCAAATACTCCTTAGATGTTTTAAAAGTCTTTTTAGTGATTGGATCTTCAAAATTTGAAAAGAATATTTTGTTCCCAATTGGATCAACAGTGAGGAGATAGACATCCTCCTCATTGTATTCATAGCCATTGGTCTTTAATATCTTCTTTACTTCAGGCAAGTTAGTAGTGAATAATTGAAGCTTCTTTGGTGATTCGTCGATCTCGTGCAAACAAGATAATCTAACCTTGATTACTGTTGGAGTACACAATTTTTCCGTATTGTCTCCCTGATAAACTGATAATTCTTGCCATGGCCGTGGGTTTCCTAACTCATCTACGTCCTGAAGTGGGAAACTCTCCAACCATAATTCCTTCAATGAATCATTAGATATACCCAAGTGCAATTTAGGGTCATTAGATGCTGAAGCAGTGCTGTTATTTGAAACTTTTGAGTAATTTTTTGTTAACTTAAACCCTAGATTGTTGTAAAACTTATACAATTCTAAAAATTTATCTGTATCATTTGTGTTGATGGATACAAAACTAATGCCTTGTATTGAATCTTTCAAAGACATCTTGCTATCCTTCACAATTTGTTTTCCTGGCATTCAATGCTAAATTTAAACTAAAATACTTATTTAGCAAATAAAATCGAAGTTATCATTATAGTACCGGAATGAGCGCATCCGAACTTTAATATGAAAATGCACTACACCCAAGGAAAAAAATTGAATCTATTCTATCTACGTCTAAAACCACAGGAGAACTAACACAGCATGTAAAATAAGAATGTAAAGCAAGCTCATATTATTAGTTTTTGTTTGGGAATTGTTTGTAGAATTAAAGGAATTGTTCGTGAACTGAATAAATCGATTCTCGTCAGATAAGTTCATTTTACTTCGTTCATTAGCATCCTCATAACTACCTTCCGTGCCATTCTTTGTCAACATAGAAGTTGTAGCACCGTCTTCAAGAGTAGTTTTGAAGAAATTCGGCACATTTTGTTCCTTCTGATTATTGGTTCCTGCTATCTCGATGGACCTGGCCGCATCTGTGTTACCATACACGTAAACTTTACTGGTAGAATAGTCTTCAACAAATAGGTTTCGGATATACATCGAGTAGGGAAGACCAGAATAATCTGTTATACCGCCTGCCCAATCAATAGTACCTTTTAAATTCTGTGGATCACCACCTGCCCACAAACTAAATCTTATCAGCATTGGTGATGTTGGGAATTTATGTGGATTGTCCCTCTTCAAGACTCTCACAACTCTGCCATTCAATAGCCAAACTAGCTCTTCTTTAGTCCATTCTATAGCGTACTTGTTAAAGGAATTCATGGGTGGCGTCTCCATGGGATGATATCCACCTCGGTCCCAAGTAGTTGCATTACCTTTAACGAAAAAATTGGATTGAAACTCAAATGGGTTGCCTCCAAATATTTCTGCAGCATCAATTTCATCTAAGTCATTGCTTTGTAAGTAGAAAGAGCTGATTATCCCTTGTCCTTTTGCCGCTTTTATCTCAACTTCAACTTTTCCATGTAAAATATGAAAATCGGATACAACAGCTGGGTTGTCTAATCTTTTTCGAATTGTCATCTTCAAACCTTCTGGGGTGTACTCAATATTTGAGGGACGGGACATTGGATTGAAGTGACTTGATCTTGATGTGAAGGGTTCGAAGTAGATACCCGCAAGTCCTGAGTTTATCGCCAAGCAGTCCACATCCTGCCTTGGGTTGCAAGTTCCCTCTTCTGAACCTAAATATGCAAGGGAAAGAGCTAAACCAATGAATTCAGTTAATAATAGTAATTTAAAGCCTTTCATTTTCTGAGTTAAGCATACAGCTCTTTATTATTTAGTTGAGCTCTCTTTTATGATAAGGAAAGTCATTTGTGGCTCTAGGATGCCAAACCATATGTATTTGTGTTTTCTCAAATTATAATCATTAAGATGGATCCCAGTAAGAATATATACCCACGATAAACTCTAAACCCACCAGTTTCGTTTAGATGGCCTTATCATACTTACGTATGCTAGTGCTACTAAAGTGAAAGTCATAGCGCGTTTCAAAAAAAATTGTAAATAAAAGATCAAATGTTTGAGATATTAAGAGTATAATCTAATGAACGAAGAAACAACCCATGATGATACTCAATATTCCGATATCCATAGAATATTGCTCACTCACTTCAGGGCCATCCATTGCATTAGTCAAAAGCAAGCTTATCAAGACTTGCAATTAATCGTTCAGGCATTATCTCAAGAAGAAGATGATGCAGAGGTTTCTGTCTCATCGCTGCTTGAATCATATATATCAGACATAAATAAGCGAATATCGGACCATGGGTTTAAAATTGATAAAAGGAATCATGAACTTACGGGAGAATTGTACTACATCTTTATTAATCAGCAAGTCGATGAAGTGATCAAATCGAATTCTAATTATTCTCCACCTGAATTAGACGCCATCAGAGGTTTGATTGATAGCATTATTCAAAGTTATGACTACCAGAATTCCATAAGTAAGACAAATGCACAACAAGCAATAGCAAGCTCACTTAGTAGATCACTTCGTGATGCTCAATATTTAATCATGAGGTTGATTGACGATGGTTGGTTTGCTCTTACACTCAACGACCATTTAATATTGTCACTTCAATCTACCAGTGAACTTAAACCTTATTTAATTAGTCGCTTTGGGATCAGCGATGAAGTGAATTATGGGAAACTACTTTTGTGTAGACAGTGTAATGATCTAGTTACTATTGGATACAAATGCAAAAGTGATGAGTGTCCTATAAGTTTTCATTATAAGTGCTACAATATCTTTGTCCGAAATAACCCCGGTAACACCAGCTGTATCAGTGGAAGATGTACTACAACTTGGACCATTGATGGACTAATCAGAGTGGGTGTCGAGCCTCAATTTTTAGAAAGTACTATAAGCTAACTATTGGACGTCGAAACTATCTAGATACTCCGCCTCTATCTCGTCTATTAGGTCCCAGTACCACTCCTCGATTACGACTTCATCATATCTCGAGCTTAATGGTTTCACATCTGGATTTTGTGAGACTGGGAATTTAAAATCAGGCCCAGGGTTGAGTCCAACAATTCCACCCAGAAAGACCGATAACATTGGATAGTATCCTAAAGAACCATCATCTGTATTTTTGTAGTTGGGGTTTTGTTGCTGCTTGGTATTTAATGAGATATCGGCTTCTTCATTTTCCTCATTTGTTGGCAAAAAGGAGTAGAGATTCTCGAACATTGTACCAATCTCTACTCCATTCTTATAAACGACAATCTTTGAGTTCGGTATTCTTGGCAAGCTATTTGATTCTTCTTGGCCGCCTGTCTTTTCTAAGATAGCCTTTTCTCCAAAGACTGTCACAGGATTTAATAAATGCTCCATTTTTCGTGTTGGTGTATACTCGTATTGTTCATAAAATAATGCATTTTTATATCTTATGGGAATTTGATCTCTTGATATATTATTAAAAGCTAAAAAAGCTTCGTTGTCTTGTAATGCGTTCTCGTCATGATGCGCTTTCGCCTTCTTCCTTTTCTTATGTGACCCTTTTTCTTCTATACTATCGCTTTTACGAGATCGTAACTTATTCTTTATAAAGTCTTCAACAGCATTCCTATGTTCAGTTAATGAAGGTAATTCTATTAAAATACCTATAACATCTCCACTTTTAAAACCTTCGTTGTTCATGAAATTTTTTGGCCGGCTTAAGGTAATTTTTTGGCCATGTATGTCTCTCAATCCATAACCATAGCCATCAAAGCCGACAGGCGCCTCTAAACTTGCTTCCTTTCTCGCCAAACCGAGTCTCACATGGCCACTTCCATTCTGTGAATTGACTATATCGAACTCCATATAGTACTTTCCTTCTCTAATACCACAATTGGCTCGCACGGATCGCCATCCTTGCGATGTAGTAACACAGTTCATTTCACTACTAAAAAGTATTCCCTGGGATCTATCAAAATAGCTCGGCCGTACAGTAAATGGCTCCATATCTGTCGTTGAAAAAAGATTGGAGCTGAATAGTGGGTTTGGATGACATGGTTTGTATTTAAAGCCTCTTCTATTGAAAGGATGATCTTCAAAATGGTAAAATTCAATATCATTATATCTCCCTGCAGCTGACTTTGTTAGGCTCTTGGATTTCAGAAATAGATCTTCCTTTTTGAAAGGAAGCGGTTTTAATCTTGGTTGCACAATTACATTGTTTTGTTTTTGTTTGAGCAATGATTTATTTTCAGCTTCACTGAGCTTATCTTTAGAGCGAGTAGAATACAGATGCGTCGAAGAAGTAAGAGATTCTGCTGGTATCAGATCATCTTCGTTCTTCACTTGGGGCTCAATTTTTGCCTCCTGTGAAATTTCTGCATCTGCTGCTTTTTCTGGTATTGGTTCTTCCATGAGATAGTTAAGCAAACATGTTGAACGTAGATTAACGAAGTTTCATGAAAATAACACGGACTAAACAAGGGTACTGTATGCAGTCTCGTTTTAATTTTTATCTAATCGATGATACTAAAGACAGAGTCCTTGAATAAAAGTCCAAAAGCGAGGTCTTCTTCGTGGTTATTGCTCTGTTAAAGGAAGAAACCCACTAATCAAGATTCCTTTAGATGCTGCTCATTCTCGTACATGGGCGACGATTTAGTTATCTAAACATCGCATATTTTGAGTTTCTATGTAATATTGCAAAATATGAATCAAATGTGTATTGTCTCTTCAATTGAAGAAAAAAACCATAAAGAGCTTTTGGATTTTCCATTAGAAACTTGAAGTACGCAGGTAGCATTAATTGCCTCAATGAGTCAAGGAACCCTATTCCAAGGTTAAATAGATCCGTATTTATTTCGATTGAATTTTGCAATCAAAAAGAAAAAAGAAAAAAAACAAAAAAAACCATTGCAAACGCATCCAACCAAGAGTAAATGTTGTAGATGTGAAGTTAATGGATTTGACTTCTTACACTTCGCCGTTAGGTACATCGTTTCAATTGTCGGTTCGACGTACTCGACCTAAGTCGTGATCGACAAGAGTCGTGTGTATCATCTGATTTGAGATACTTGATTTCTAGTGCAAAAATTAAAATCTATTACAATTACTCTTAAATCCATATGATATGAATATGATTAGGATCGTCCCAAGAATATACCAAAGACTCTCTAGGGAGCGATCAAGTTTTAAAAGGATAGCAGAAAGGAAGTACTCGACCAGAAAGGAACACGAATCACCATTTGCTAGGTATCCATTTCGTAAGCCTCCTTTCATTAATTGGAAGACAACAGGTATCTTTTTTCTTTTAGGATCATATTTGGCTTACAACGAAACACTATTTGATGTTTATGAGTCTTTTACAAACATAGATGAAGGGAATGAAGATTTGTTGACGACTCAATTAGAGTATAAGTTGAAGCAAGTACCAATCTATCAAGAATTAAATCACCCAAAGCAAAAAAGTAAATGGATTCAGCTAAGAACGTGGGAAAATTTAGACCACAATGTTATAGATAAAAGCAAGGTTGCCAAGTCCAAATGCGAGGAAGAGTATGCAAAACCAAGTATCACTAACGAAGCATTGGCGAAGCCTGGAGGGTTCTTGATTCAACCGGTGATCTTCTTCAACACAGAAACAAATGAAAGTGTAACTATTGCCCATGTCGGTCACAGGTTATGTGGCTATCCATTTATTATTCACGGAGGAGTCACAGCAACTTTACTTAATGAGTCATTTAAGAGAAATGCATCGTTATCTAATTTGACTACATCAAATTTAAAAGATGATTTTAAAGTTGAGAAATTGAAGATTAACTATAAGTTTCCTGTATTTGCAAACCAATTTATTGTCCTCAAAATCAAACCTGAGGCTGTCTCAAAAGGAAAGCATATTGAATTGACTAGTACTATTGAATCAAAAAGCGGTAAGATACTTGTGAAGGGCGAAGCCGAATTACAAGATACTGGGAGGGCGAGCAAGGCGATCACAATGAGCAAGAGATGGAAAATATTTTAGTGAGATGCATCAAAGGTTCCATAATAATGTATTTTGAAGTAATCTACGTAGTAATATGTCTAATGTCTTAGTTTTTTTTTTAAAAAAACTTCTATTGAAATGAAAATAAACTTTCCGCTTTTATGATTTGCTTAATCCCAATTTTTTCCAAAATGACTTCTTCTTTCCTTTAAGACCATTTCCATCGCCTTTTTTATCTATCAGCTTTTTCTTTTCTATTCTTTTCTTTCTATTTTTTTCTTCATCATCTTCGTCATATGATATCAAACTTTTGACCTTATAAATACTGTCACCATTGCTTCCACGTCTGTTACGAGAACTATTGTTCGTCTGACTTCGATAAATCGTATGAATTCTAGAGTCAATTTTCATATGATCGTCGTTGGATTTGATAGCTTCCAAATATTTATTGGAATCATGGAGAGAAGTATCTGAGATTATCTGTAACATTTTTTCAAATCTCTCTTCGTCTTCAGATGAAGCTAAATTTTCTATTTGTTTTGCTAACGCAGATCTACCATTCTCATTGAGCAGCTCGATAGATTGGTTTGATGAAGACGTACTGTGATCCCCTTTATAAGAAGAATGATTTGAGTTGAACGCGATCGTCACATTTGATGTTCTTCGTATCGCATCGTTTTGTAAACTACTACCAACTAAAATCACGGGTATGGTAGAATATTTTATGATATAAGAACTTATTTTTATTATGTATTCATCTTTATCATTCTGATTAGTCTTCAACTTTTTAGGATATTTAAAATTCAAATTAGAAGACTTGTTTCCCATTACAATTAGCGTTGGAAGATATTGCTTGTATAAATGAGATAGCATAAACTTATTACCCATCAAAAGCTTCCTGCCAGATAACTCACTGGCATTTCTATCTGAAACTAGTTCAATTGTTATTTTAACTTTCAAGCCCGCTGGTAGACTTTCTATTACATAATTAAGAATGTTATCACACTTGCGATATAAAAAGTCATCCAAATCCTTTTTACACGAGTCAGAATTCCTCCAGTACTTCGATGGAATGTAACTTGCAACCACAAGATGGTCTCCATTCTCCAAAAATTTCAGAGTTCCTGCACTTTCACCTCTATCGAGTAACCAATCCAACGAGCTCCATGAGTGCCTTCTTCCTGATATTACCGTGAGTATAGTTCGTTTAATTTCCACATCATCATACCCCTCATGCTTTACAGTCAAAGTTATTGAGTTGTAATTGTTTTCATTGGAGGACGGATAAACATTTCGAGCATTATTAATGGCAGCAACAGATAATCTCTTATTCCCCGAACTGTAATACGCTGATTGCGAATCGAATTTGAACTGAGACATATTACTTGTCTTAGACCTCGTAGTTGAGAACTGCGGGTCCAATGCAATCAACTCTTCGTCTGTCATTTCACTGTAAGATTTCCTTCTAGGCTGTGCATGAGGCTGCAAGTGGGAGCTACTCAGACGTGGTGACGGCTCCTCACCTTCAGATGCACTATCAGAGTCCAAATCTGGTACCTCGTGGTAGTTTATTCCTTCCAGGTCATTGAGCACAGCATCACCAGTAGCGGGGCTTCTGTTCTTCAATATAGATTTGGATGGAGGGTCAGGTAATTTATGTTTTTTCTTGAAATGGCTCACTCCGCTCAATGAAGTAGTGTTGTACAATTTAGTGATGTCTTTGAAGACTGCTGCTCCATATCCGAAGTTCGGGTCTTGTTCATAGCTGACTGAGGACTTTCCACTAACAGGTGGTAGATGTATATCGTCAATGTAGTCAGGATTGAGATTGTTGAAAGAAACTCTTCTAGTGAAATGACGGTGATTGCTATTAGTTCCTATAGCTGCAGACATCTACTGATCCTATCGTGTCTGTCTATGGTGGTGTTGGTGTCAAGTCTGCTTCAGTATTCTGTTAGTTAATATAACAGAGCTACAAAAAACTTCTACAGTTTTAAGCGAATAGCGGGAACGATTGGTTTTATGGTCACTTTATTTTTTTTCTATAATTCATGTAATGTGTCTTTTGGTTGCGCCAAGCCCGAAAGATATTTTATCTAGGCCCGTCACAACGTACCGGAGCTTAGCTATGCTAGCCACGATTTGCTGCACTGATTGCCTCACAGAGCAATAAAACTTCGTAGGCTCTACCATCGCAGTAGACCCATAGTCTACAAAGAGGAACTCTAGTACCCTTGTTTATGGAAGACGATCGCTGCATCGCACCCCACACAATACGTATACAGAGTCATGTGGATAATCCAGCTTTTAACTAGGACTTATCTATTGTTTGGTGAACCTGAATTTGGATGTGTCGTGCTAGCCGCGTCTTTGACGGCGTATCAGAGATTGTTCTACTCATGTGTTTTCCTGTCTGAAAGATGAGTTTAAGAACTACAGTGCTGTAGTTTTTCCTGCGAGCAAGCCAACCTTTCCCATTCAAGAAATATTATTGTGCAGCTGACTGCGTCACTAAGGCGGAGACTTACACGCCAGACACTCATACCAGACGCTCTCATACGGACACGAGAAAGACACGAGGGAGACACATAAAAGCGAGGGTCTGTAATGCGGCTGGCAATAACCCCTAATCGCTAATAATTTATCAGCTGCAGCCACTAAATAAAGCCACCCCCATGAACAAACTTTTAGGATCCGATAAGCGCCGAACACGAGACGATATTTCCCGGGTCATGAGAGTGTTTGTAATCAAGCTTAATCGCTTGGCTGTTTCAGATTGCGCGGTGACGAAGCCTCGCGCCGAACAAGGAAAGTTTGCTGGCACTCGGTTGCGATGATACTTTGTTAGTAGGGCTGGCGCTGATGACAGAAATATTGTCAACGTTTACCCTTTGAAAAAATTTGATCAATTTACAGAGATACATTAGTGACGGGGAATTGATTCAATTACTAGTTATTCTTTGCAGACATTAAATTAGCTGCAACAGACTATAAATTATGAGCAGCAGCGATTGGTATTTGCCCATTCCCATCGAGGATTTTTTAAAGATAAACAAAGGCTCTGCCGAGAATATTCCAGATAAACCTCCTATAGAGGATCCTGTTGGTGGCGTCGATGTTAGATGTGGGCCAATCTTGCGATTGGCTGGTACTCATGAGGCTGGCCAGACCAATTATCGTGGTTCATTGATGATTGTGGCCAAGGACTGCAATGATATCCCCAAAATTACTTACAAAAGTGGTCCCTCTATCAAAGGAGAAGGTTCAGAAGAGTTTGGGAAGGGTGAGTTTCCAGGAACCAAATACTACGAGGAAGAGGGGAATTCTTTCTTTAGATATGATATCGATCTTTCACTTTTGGAATACGAACAAAAAATAGAGTATTACATTAATAGCTATTTCAAGCAGTCCTTTCGCTTTTTCGTGCCTTCAAAAGATCAATCGATGAATGTCGTTTCATTTTCCTGTAACGGGTTTTCTTTGGGTGCGGGAACCGCAGATTTCCCGAGCTCATTATGGTTTGACGTGTTAAAGAAGCATAAAGATATCCATTACCATGTTATGCTAGGTGGAGGAGATCAAATATATGCAGATGCAATTAAGATTCACAGCAAGAGCCTCCAGAGATGGTTGAAAGAAACCAGTTCGTCGAAAAAACGAAAAATGACGACTAATGAATCCGATCTTAAAGAGTTTCTGCATTTTTATTTGAATCACTATTTAGCGTGGTTTGGCCAGGGCCACTGGGTTGGAACAAATGGTAAAACATTGCAGACTGTATTTCCTTTAACAATGTCACAGATTCCGTCCATAAATATTTACGACGATCATGATATAATTGATGGTTTTGGGTCATATAGCGATTCGACTATGTCTCAGAGCTTTCTCAAGAGCATTGGAAATACTGCTTACAAGTATTACATGCTCTTTCAACACCAAATGAACCCTGAAGAAAAACTTCACCTTACCGATCCAAGCTGGATATTGGGCAAGACCAATGGTCCATTTATTAATGAAAAGAGTCATTCAACCTTTTCAAGATTGGGTAAAGAAGTTGCTGTCTTAGGCTTAGATTGCCGTACAGAAAGAAAAATTAATGAAGTTATCACCCCAAGCACTTATAACATTGTCTTTGCTAGACTAGAGGAGGAGCTCAACAAGGCTCCGGATGTTAAGCATCTTCTCGTTATGTTAGGCGTACCTATTTTCTATCCGAGATTAGTTTGGTTGGAGTGGCTTTTGAATTCAGCCATATTGAAGCCCTTTAGAGAGCTAGCCATCAAAGGTATTATAAACAAGGGATTGGTCAACGAATTTGACGGAGGTGTTGAGGTATTGGATGATCTAGATGATCACTGGTGCTCAAAGAATCACAAGCGTGAAAGAAACTTTTTGGTTCAAAAATTGATAAACTTCGGTGCATCTAGGGGTGTGAGAATAACAATTTTATCTGGAGATGTTCATTTGTGTTGTATAGGAAGGATTAAGTCAAAAGTTCATCACCATCCGGAAGCCCATATAATCCTGAAATCTCCTGAAGAGTTAAAGAAACATAATGCTAGTGTCTTAGAACACCCAGAGAATGATGCAAGGTTGATCTTTAACGTGATTAGCTCTGCAATTGTTAATGCACCACCCCCAGATGCCATGGCCACCTTGCTAAACAAAAGAAGTAAGATTCACCATTTCAGCATAGATTGCGATGAAGATATAGTTCCCATTTTCCAGAAAAACCCCGATGGAACCAATCGTAGTAATCATCAATTTTTAAATAAGAGAAACTGGAGCGATTTGATTATTGCTCGTCAATCAAAATACAAAGACGAGGTTCAAGCTGGCATTGAAAAGTATCCAGGCAATCCAGGTGACAACTTGAACCCAGATAAGGAGGATAAAGTTGCCCATGACGTGAAATATCCTTTATTAGAGGACTCTTTGATTACAACACTTCATGTAGAAGATGATCCGAAAGACTTTAATTGCCAAACTGCAGCTTACGAGCTTTATATTCCAAAATTAGTTGGTAAACATAAATTAGAACAGACCAGAGTTAAGCATTTATACTAAAATCCTTTTTATAAGACGATATTTTATAGTTTTTCAAATCTGATAACGTAATAAAAAATCTTTCGCTATTCAGATATATAAGAAACTCTTATCTAAAGATCGGTTATTATTCTCAACATTGAAAGCGAATTTTCATTAGAAACAATATATAATCTGTCTAAGGAACATGACAGAAAAAAAAAGAAAATCAGAGCTCTCCGGCGAGGATGAACCCTCATCAAAACGGCCATCATCAACTATAATAGGGATATCAAGATCAATCTCAGCATGCCAAAGGTGCCGAGTCAAGAAAATAAGGTGCGATCAACATTTTCCTAAATGCTCCAAATGTGTAAAAGCGGGCGTGGAATGTATTGGATTAGACCCAGCAACGGGAAGAGAGGTCCCTAGATCGTATATATGTCATCTAGAAGATCGTATATCTATTTTAGAAAACAAGCTTAAAGAAAGTGGGATAAACCCAGAGACCCTAAAACTGGAACAGAGCAGTATCGACAAGGAAAATATAGAGAACCAAATGCAGCCTCCAAAGATAGAACAAAAGGAAACGAAGACAGATCCTGACAATGCAAGTCTGACAGTTTACCAGGAAACGTCGTCGAGTATATCATTTGCAAAATTAATGGCCACTGCTCTCAAGGTTACAAAAAAGTCAGCTGCAACAACCCCAGATCCTTCTATTTCACTGAAATTTGAAAAAGTTTTACCTGCTATCTTACCTCCAAAGCAAACTGCCATTGAATTCATCAAGATTTTTTTCGCTCAGGCGAATAGTCAAACCCCAATATTACATCGAGAAGAGTTTCTTGAAAAGTACTTCGTTCCCATATATGGAAACCTTGACCAGGGAGTTTCATTGGCATCTAATTATACTGCAATAAATTACTCCGTCTTTCAAAATGATACGATTAGAGAGGAAGACACCTGGTTTTATAATTATAAACTGCAATTTCAAAATCTATTGAAGAACAATACGGATGCAAACTATATATCAAACAATATAAAGCCTCCCAGGCAGTTCCATAGGCCATTATTTTTCATGAATATGGTATTTGCAATATCTTCTTCGGTACATCACTTGCAATATCCAACTACGATTTCGGAGTCCTTTCAGACGGCAGCCAAAAGATACACGGATTCGGTCTATTCTTCTCATGATCTGCTTGAATCTCTACAAGGAATTTTGCTTATGGCTCTTTATTCTACTATGAGACCAGCAGTGCCTCAGGTTTGGTATGTTTTAGGAACTGCTCTTAGGGTCTGTGTTGATTTAAATCTCCACAATGAGTTGAGCTCGACAAGGCAGATCGTCAATCCATTTACCAAGGATAAGAGAAGGCGGTTGTTTTGGTGCACATATTCTATGGATAGGCAAATATGTTTTTATCTCAACAGACCGGTAGGAATACCTGATGAAAGCATCGATACTCCTTTCCCATCGGAGCTAGATGATGCTTTGATTGTTCCTGGTGATAATTCAGCTGGTGATTACTCTAATAATATTAGTGGAATGCCTAGTTACAAATCTATTTCTTTATCTTTTTTCAAAATTAGGCAGATTCAGTCTGAGGTCCAAAAAATTTTATACGAAAATAGAGAAGTACCTCGGGCGTATAAGAACCTCAATGATTGGAGGAAAGATATAGAGAAGAAATTAAGACTGTGGAAAAACAATTGTCCCAAGACTCCTAGAAAAATGAACTGTGATTTTAATTTGGTCTTCTTTACACTCAACTACAACCATACATTATTAATTTTGCATGGGTTATCACCAAAGCATTATAAGCTATCTCAAAATGATTTCGTGATTGTAAGCGAGTCTTCAAAAGAATTGATTAGCTGCTATTCTCAATTACATGAAACTAAAAGTATAAATTATACTTGGGCAGCTGTGCATAACTTATTCATGGCAGGTACTTCGTACTTGTATACCATATATAACAGTGAAGAGATAAGAGGTAGAAACAGCATATATGAAGTTAAAAAAATTAGCTCTGAATGTCTAAACGTTCTCGGATCCTTGATAGACCGTTGTGATGCTGCTTTTGACTGCCGAGATATATTTGAAAATCTCACGATGGTAGTAATTAAATTGAAATATAATGAAACTGTACACGGATTTTCAACAACTTCGTTAAATGAGAAGTTTTCAAAGATTGATAATGGAAATTTGAATTCCAATGTGACAAGACTCGTAGAGAATTTGAATGAGCACAACAAACACATCATAATCCCTGAAAAGAGTCTCAATCCTTTCGACCATTCTTTCAAGACAAACAATCAGTCACTCCACGAGGAATCGCAATACGCTGTACAAAAGATCATTGAGACACATAACAATGAACGTTTGAGAAATCAATCTCCTGCAACGTTCGAGTGGATAACAGACAATAATCAAGAAAACATGCATGGATTAGACAACGGACCCCAATACGACTTAAATCTGTTCTTCAATGAACTTGAGAACTTGTCACCAATATCATCAAATTCTCGAAGGAACAGTATTCCTGGAGGCAATAATAAATTCAATTTCAATTCCAACGTACAATCACTCCAGGATACACCGCTTTCAAATGACAGTAACATGTCTGCTCTATCGTCACCAGTTTTGCTGAGGAATCAGACTAATCAAAATGAAGACAAAGGTGTAAGTAATTCGGCTTCAATATATCCGAAGGACGGAAGAAAGGTTTATGAATTGATACAGCAAATGCCGACAGAATCTATTTGGGACCAATTTTTTACGGCCTCTGCTTCCAATGGAACTATGGGTTTGAATTACGGACCATTCGTCAAAGAAGAAACTGGTGACCAATTATAGTATCTTCAACTTTTTTCTTGTACTTTTACTGCTTCCCGGTGTCTTCTGTAGTTATTTAAAACCCTCTATATTATTCATTTCTATTAATGTTTCAATATTTTCATAATGTAATAGTGTCTGGCTATTGACTGGATAACATTGTACTACTTCGATATACGAACCATCCCAAAATCCATTTATATTGACAATTGCACCTTTAAATATTGTATCTGGCCCTATTGAATTTGTAAGACCCTCTATGTTTACAGCAATTCCCTTACAATTGTTCGTTGAGGAAACTGTATTTTGTTGGTTAGCGGGAGTCTTAATGTTACATATTTTAGTAATAACTAAATGAGACTCCTCGTCGATATACTCAAGTATTTGCGCTAAAATTCTCACCCTGTAGACATTCAGAATAGATGCATCCGGAAATAAGGCTGGTAATGATGTAGGATCCAACACTAACTTAGTCATCTATATCATACTTGAATTAACATGATAGATATAGATCTCATAAAAATATACAGTATTCAGGACAAAAAATAGAGAAATCGACCTCAACTCATCGGATTCCCTTATCAAGAAAGAAAGAAAGAAAGAAAGGAAAAAAGAAAGTATTTCTTCTTGTCAAGGATATCTCACATGAAGGTCCTAAAGAAGAGAGATAAGTTCTTGTCCAACTACGAAGTTCTGGAACATTTGAAGGAGCTTAAGTCGTTATACAACTGGACTTTTGAGGATGAGAATCAAAGCATGAAAAAACAAAAGAAGAGATCGTTGGCATGTGGAATAGAGTTAGAAGTGGTAACGAAACAAATTTTATCATACCTCGATAAAACGCCATGCTCAGCTATACAATCAAATGAGAGTTTCAAGGAGCTACTTTTGTTTTTAAACAAATTCGACTTAATGAAAGTTGAAAAATTACAGATTGTCAATTCTTTACCCAGATCCATGGTCAACTTGTATGCGATAGTAGAAGAATGTGATCAAAGATTTGATGAAGATACGTGTGACAGCATTTTGGAGACTATCAATAGGCTTTTTCCGGTGGAAGAAAATGCTGAAGCGAATGAAGAAAAGACGAATGGCATAGAAGAAGATCAAGAAGATGAAGAAGAAGAAGAAGAAGTAGAAGGTTAAGAAGAAAAAAGAGGTAGCATATTTGCTACAATACGTGTAATCCGATTCCATTGTTGAATGAATTAGTATTTATATATACACTTAATGCAAGATTTAAATGAATTCCCCCATTAGACGATTTCCTGCGCCAAGATCATTAGATTCGCTATCTATTTCTTTACCGGGGACTGACCCGTTCAGTTCTTCATTATTCAAATCATCTGCCACTTTTTCAGGTGGAAATAGTCCATGATTATGCCACAGATTTCTCAAATTTCCGACCATTTCACTTACATCTGACAAAAGGCCAGTTGGACCAACAGCAAAGATAGACTCTCCATTATCCTCAGAATTGATCCAATGATGCTCACAAGCTTCAGTATCGTTTTCTTCGGTATCGTCTTCATTCTTTTCAGTTTCTCCAATTTCCTGGGAAATCGTATCTCTAGATAAAATGGCAGAAAGGCCCTGCTCCTTATCAAGGGAGTCAGAGCTTCTCATTTTTGCATTGTTTGAAACTAATTTATTGTCTTCGTCACTGTTGATTTCTAACGCAAAATGATTCTGTACCAAATGCTCAATAACGGGCCATCCATAGGCATTTGCAAAACGTCTTCTAACTATGATATTATTATGTGCATCTGGTTTCAACTTTACTAAAACTTTTCTCCACTTCATGTTTTTGTGATATTCTCTAGCAATCTGCTCCTCTAAGGATTGCAAGTCAGCAGAATCAATGGAGTTCATAATACGCTTCTTTATGCCTGAAGACTGAGCTGCATTACTGTTATCTGTCTTAGGAGAAACTACCTTAGAGTGATTATGTTTCTGACTTGATTGCTCCTTAGATGGGATATCACTCTCTTGATACACTTTATCATGGAAGATCACATTGGGCCTTGATTCAGGATCATTTATATACTTGGGGGTTGGCAATGGTGGCAAAATCAATGATGTAGCAGTTTCGAGTACTGAAGACCTCGGTGCGTCAAAGTTCGTACCTTCATCATTAGTTTTCTGAAGAACTTGAGAGTCTTCATTTGTAGTCGTTTGATATTTTTGATAACGGTGATTTGGCTTCCTCTTATGTTTTTGAGGCATGAAATAAGAAAGCATTGCTTGAACCGGCAGAAAAGAATCATTGAGAGCTCCTTCTTCGCGTGCAGGTATCTCTCCCACTGTTGAATTATTATGCAAGTTCTTTACTTTATTATCTTTCGAATTTATAACTTGATTTAATCCTTTATAGTCTAGAAATAATAAAGCAGATGTTCTTAAAGGAACGACACCGTCATTAATAACATTCGCGTAGACTGTGCGTCGTGAAAACATCTTAAGAGCCTGATGGGTTGGGCCGGTTGGCAATAATAACAATAAAGGCTTGGAACCTTTCTCTAAGAACTTTAAGCCCAAATCCTGCCCTGTTTTTCCCACAATTCCCGCCAGCAACGCAATTTTCACATATAATGGATTCTCATTTACTACACCTAGCATCGGAGAAGCCAAAGTTATAAAATTAATTGGTTGTATTGTTTTGAAGAACCACAGAAAATTATTCTGGATATATGCAATTGCAAAAGTTTGCACTAAACCACCTAATGAATGGCCAATAAATGAAACTTTTCCAACCTTTCCATTATTGAACATCGTGTCGTTTGATACCAAATCTATAATATATTCAGCTACCCTGGACCCAAGGTACTTAATGCCTCTTTCTGTCTTACCAATATTCCCAAAAAATCCTTTTACGACTATATTATCTTCAATTTTATCAATTTGTTCCTTGAGATAGAGCATGTCAGTCGATATGTTTGAGTGGAGTCCATGAGTTAATATTACCAAATGAATAGGCTTTTTATGATCAGGAATCGGTAGATTCCACAAATCCAATGTATCCCAAGTCGTTACATTCAAAATGCTGTTCGGTATGAATGATCCAATCCTATCGTAGTTTGGAACCTTTTTCTCTGGGATGGAAGCCTCATGCAATACCCGTTTCGATGTGCCTAACATTATTTCAAAATCAACGTCGATCGTATTGTTGAATACAATTTGAGATATCACATCAATAGTCCACACGTATTTATCCTTCAAGGTATGGCAAGATAGCTCATTATAGAAAGACTGTCCTGGTAGCAACTGCGGTTCAAATGTTGGCTGATCTGCTGTCACAAAGCATTTTTTGTTAAGATCGTATTCATCTGACTTGCAATCCACGTATAACACATAAGGACCCGCCAAGTAAGCAGCCCTCATCGCAATCATTTCTTTATTCTTCACTTTTAACCAAAGATTTGGTGGTAGCTCAACAGAATCACTGCCGTCAAGAGGAGTATATTCGATCTTGAATCTATGTATTTGACCCGATTTTAGCGACTTAACTTGGCGATATAGAATCTGCTCATCATAGTTTTTCATAAGATTAGACATGTTTGCTGACAGGCCTATATCATACCTTGACGCCCAGATTAAACCTTTTTACGTACCTAATCACAAGCTGCGATATAGTATATCTCTTTTTGCACATAAGCGAGCGTCTTGTATACATTATCATAATCAATATTCATTACTGGTCTAAGATAGAGTATTGCTAATAGACCCAATGGTAAGAGGTCAAGGACAGCAAGTCTTAATAAATAGAGAGATACTTCATAATCTTTATTAGCGATGCTGCTGCAAGATCCCGAGTCGCCCAATAAATTGCACAGTATGGGTCATACAACTGAGGAAGATTCTGAGATAAATGACCTTCATCCAATGGAATTAATGGCACACAGCGTCTTGAGTGGACCGCTTGATGGGTTGAATGAGAGTTTTGAGCAGCTTAGCCAATCACAGCTTATTCTCTTAACAAGATTGAGGCTAATCGAAGAGAGACTTACAAGCTTCAAGAAATCTGTCACGGACGAAGGAAATATGCTTGATGACAAAGAAGTTGCCAGTAATATTGATAGAATAAAGGATCTCACGAAACGTGCCGGTATATCATTTAAAACTTTGTCAGAGATTGAGAAAAGAGTTGAGAGAATGAATCAAAAGTTGGGGAAATAAAAATAGGTTAACGCGTGGTTATTATTTTCGTCTTCATCCGATTTTGCAAAGCATTCGAAGATTGTCTATACAATATTAAAAGAAGGAGATGAATTTGTAAGGATAACCCATACCCTTGAGCCCAAAAATCGATAGTAAAATACTGTAGAATACAAATATCAATCCACTGACAATTATAACTGCGACGACATTGAGCTGAGCGTTATGTATTTCAGGCACTTTTTTCAGTAATACGACGACCAAAACTCCAAGGATTCCGTAGATAAAGGCTATAATCTGAGTCTCGATGCCTAACTGATTCTGCTGACCGGCTAGAAAATATTCAACCGCTCCATTTTGATGTTCTCTAACATAAGGAACACCACGAATTTGATTGAACATGTAACCAGATATGAGGAATAAGATGCCCACGAGAGATGCTGAGCTCCATAAGGTCTTCGATGTGATGAGCTGTAAAACCTGACTTTTGAATTTGAATACTAATAAAGCGACAACAAATGTTACTACTACATTGGTAGCAATTCTATTATAATTGATAGGAACATAAAGATTGACCTTGAAACCTGTGACTTTAGTGATGTAGTTAGCAAGTAAGTCCGCGTGACCACCGACGTAGAATTGGTAATCATCATATTCTTTAACAAAGTTCTGCGGATCTGGATTTGAGGTAGGTGAAAAATAAAAAATTTTTGGAATGCTATTCAATTTGTACGTTGCAAATAGACTCTTTGAGTTGAAGTATTCCGAATATGCAAAGTAGATGTTTTTCCTTGTGTCTGTAGATTCATCTTCACTTTCCAATTCTTTTTCCGATAATCCATTTGGATGATCAGCAAACCAAGAAGAAGCAACTAGTTCAAACTCTGGCTTGAGCTCATTACACAATGCACAGTTAATTTGGGGACTTGTCGAGGAAAGTAAAAGAATCAAATGATAATCTCTCTTACCACCTAATATACTTTGATAATTCAGCTCGTCAATCTCAATTGTTCTTGATTTCCCACTCTTTCGGGTCAATTCCAATAGCTCTTCGCTTGAAAGGCCCGCAATTGAGAGCCCAACGAAAAACACGAGAGCAGAAATGAAATGAATAATTGAAGCACGCATTGTGATTTTGGGCCTATTCAGAGACTCGAGTACAGTATTCTTTGAAATCGCAGCTTTGAACACGTCAAGACTACTGGACAATGTGCACGTGACACAATATTTATTAACATTGGTTACTATGCAAGAGTATACAATTGTGTGAAAGTACTTTGAGTATGCTATTTGAGAGAAACGAGACTATATGACTTCAAAACTTCTATTACATCCAATATCCACGAGACAGAAGCCGTTTCCAACTTCTAGTCTTTCTACCAACAAAGTATAGGTCCCGGGGTTGTCAATTTTGCATTCAACGAAAATTCCATATAATGAATCATTCCATTCCTCGTTGACTGAGATGGGTTGCGAAGTTTGAGTATTGAACACGGATGCTCTAATGGCTGGTCTATAGTGAGAGACAGAAGTTTCTTTGTGGTTATCGAAAGCACCCGAATGTTTAATATGAAATACGAAATTTGAGTTGAAAAACATTGATTTGAAAAGTATTTTAAATCTCATATTGTTGTTCCAATCTTTCTTTTGGCTAGATTGAAACAATCCCAAATCCTTCGAAACTTTCGTAATAATGACATCATCGTCTCTCAACTCGTGTTGTATAAGCACGTCGAAGGGGCACATATCACCTTTATATGTAGACACAACAAGACGATAAAGTCCAGGATCAATCGATAACACTTTATACTGGTAGCCTTTATTATAATCCTCATTGAATAATAGTTTAGATTTGTCAAAGTTTTTAAGTTTTAGGTTTTTATCCGATTGAGAACAGTGAAGTATGTGAAAGCCGACATATATATCTTTCGGACAGAAAACTCCAACTAGAATATTCGTTTTCTCTTTAATCTCGAGATTATATTGAGGATTATCAATGAAAGAAGCTTTTACCCAGGTTCCCCCATTATTTTCCGCATTCCACTCGCCATGCAACGAAGGGAGAGCTCGTAGCATATTTGAATCCGCCTTCCTGAGTTCCAATTCTTTACAAATATTGTGATATGCGCACAACGTTACGATACCTCCAAGGCTATTTTTAATCACAATTGTATAAGCCTTGCCAGGATCAAGTGAGGTTTTTAATAAAATTAAGCGGCCATTTGTAAACACATTCCCATGAATCGTATATTGATTTGGAAAGATGACCTTGCACCCTTGTGCTGTATCGAATAACTCGATACCGTTTACTTGATCTTTCTCATTGGGCGAAATATGTTTCTCAAGAAGTAGCCATACATCTTGAGTGGCCCTTGAAGAATTTTCAATAACAAATTGAGGACGCTGATAGTAACGATGAGCCGCGTCGCCTGAGTTTTCGGTGCAAATCGTAGTCACCACTGATTGGAATTGAAAAACTTTTAGAGGATCCCAATTAATGTAAATATAATTTAAACAACGTAAATCACTGATCAGAATTACCCTATCCTCATAATGACTTCCTTCTATCCAAGGGTTTTTAAGCTGAACTACGCCATTGTCGAAATCTTGAACCACATAATCATGATTAGAAATTAAATTCATTTCCTTCGAAAGCTTCTCACTAATATTTCCAGTACCGATACCTAGTGTGATATGTCCTGCTTTATTCATTTCCCATAAATGCTCAAAATTTGAAGGTAGCTGCCCATAAGCTACAGTTACAATTTCCGGGATCCATTTGAGGAGCATAAATAAATCTATTGCCATGTTTGATCCTTTAAAGTTGTAGCCGTTCCCCAAGACTTGTAAATATGCTTTCTCAACCAATGCTGGCCAAAAGAGCCGTTCGTTACGAAATGATCTGATCGTTACATTTCGTGACAGGTTAGTAAGTACTGGAAATTCATTATTAACAGTCACAGTTCTGTCACTCCCATTGAAATAGAGTTTTATCTTGTAATTGCAACTTTCTTCGAACGGCGATATTATATCTTTTATTCTGTTAACTTGTTTGGTATTTACTATTGATAAAATTGAAGAAACAAAGGAACAATTTGTTAGTAAATCCTGATATAATTCAGTTAGGTCATCTTCCAGTAATGACCAGTCAATAAGTCGAACCTGCGACCATCGAGTATCGTATGCTCTAGGAAGTTCCAATGGAGAATCTCGTCGCTTTCTATCTATTAATAAAGGATTCATTGAGTCAAGGTCACTAGAGAACTTAATCAAAGGCAGATACGTCACACCTCTCAATATAGAACCAAACCATAACAATCTTTCTGTGAGGGGGAATGCACTTTTCTCGCTATTTGAACTGATTCTGTCGTAGAGATCAATCGTGAACTTCGACAATTGCATTTCAATTTTTGATAACAGGTTCTCATGGTCTATCTTTGATCTTTGGTTAAGCAATTTGATCGCTTCAAGACATTTGCCCTTAGAAACCACAATATCGTTACGACAGTTCGTAATATAGATCAGTTCTATAAGTCCTACATATTCATCTAGGCTATTTTTTATCTCCTGAGACATTCCCTCTATCATTGATGTAAATAAAAACAATTGCAATTTCTGCGATAATGATTTTGCACATTAATACACTAAAGTGATATTATGAGTTTACGATCGAAGTCAATAAGGGCACGCCATGATCAGATTAGTGAAGAAGATAACAAGAAGGGAAAGGAAAAACTAAAGTGGACATTGAGACCTCTCTCTGGGAGTATATTTTTTCTACTTTTTCTTTATCGACTATTCAATTCATTAACCATTAAGACATTCTTTCAGGCAGATGAATATTATCAATCGTTGGAACCGGCTCATAAAAATTGCTACGGCTATGGTTACTTAACTTGGGAATGGAGAGAAGGCTTGAGATCCTCAATACATCCTATAATTTATTCGTTGGGATACCATATGTTGTCTTCTTTCTCAGATAATCCAGAGGCAGTAATTATAGCCCCAAAGGTCATAGGGGCATTACAAGCTACCATAGCAGAGTATTATCTATACCGTTTTGTTCAATCGGTTTCTAAGAATGAATGTTTATCCAAGCTTACTCTTGCATTTTCTTTGGTTAGTCCCTTCAACTGGTATTTTATTACTCGTTCATTTTCAAATAATCTAGAAATGGTTTTCACTGTGATTGGATTGACTTACTGGCCCTGGAATTTTGTGGTCAACAAATACCTATTTTTGAGTTGTGGGTTTGCCTTCTTCAGTTGCATAATCAGACCTACAAATGGACTCATTTGGATATATTTAGGATCCTATCTTTTGTGGAAAAATTATCTGCTTTATCGAAATTTATCAGTTATATTTATGGCCCTAACTTACTTGGAGATTGAGCTTCTACTTGTCTTATTAATTAGTGGATTACTTGATAGAGCGTTTTACAATAGATGGACATTCCCTTTGTATAATTTTCTTGAGTTCAATATCTTCAGAAACCTATCGATATTCTATGGCACAGCACCCTGGCATTTCTATATATTACAAGCTTTCCCGTTAATCTTGTTAACTTACTTGCCATTTTTCATACATTCTATCATAGTATTAAAATGTTTCAAGCATGTGCTAGGACAAATGGTCGCCTTCGTGGTTTTAGGGTTTTCATTAGTCGGCCATAAAGAAATTCGATTCATATACCCTTTGCATCCGGTTCTTCTCTATTTCAGTGCATGCTCCGTGAACTATTTAGCTAGTCGATTGAATTTGCACAAGTTAGTACTACCAGTCGTCTTTCTCAACATAGCGATTGCATTCTTTTTTACTCAAGTTCATGAACGTGGTGTTATAGATGTCGTTCACTACTTGAGACTGACACCGTCAGTTGAATCTTTTGGTTTATTGACACCATGCCACTCGACACCATGGCAGAGTCATTTACACAATATCACTTTTTCACAAAATTCCTGGTTTATAACTTGCGAGCCACCGTTGCACTTGCAAACTTCATCAGCTGGTGCTATAAAATCCTACAAAGATGAATCAGATCATTTTTATGATAATCCCACCAAATTCTTACATGAAAACTTTCCTTCATTTGACGACCAAGACGGTAATTCCAAATACCAATGGCCCTCTCATTTAGTTTTTTTTGAACCATTGGAGGAAACAATGAGCGTATTCTTCAAAGATTCGCCGTACGAAGAATGTACAAGATTCTTCAATAGCTTCTTTCATTGGGATGATAGAAGAAAAGGAGATGTAATTGTATATTGCAACACTTCTTTTATATAATCAGTTTAGAAGTATATGCTATATTCCTTTATCATTTGCATCATTTAGCTTTTCAGCATCAAGCTTGACTTTTTCCATCCATCTTTTTACTAACGCTTCATTTTCATTCGTCAACTTATTTATTCTGTCGTTTAAAACATTAACCTGAATTTGATTCAATAAAAGCTCTTCATTTATTATCTCTATTGATTTGTTCTTCTCACCTATCTCCATGTTTAAATTGCTGATCTTTTGACCAAGACTCTTGACTGACTTTTCCAAATGTTGGATGCTTTTCCTATCCTGATTTCGCTTTGATTCCAATGTCTCTGATTTTATAGTAGAATTGTTTAAACTATCGATCAAACTCTCATTTTGGCTCCTTAACTTGCCGTTTTCATTCACAAGCCTATTATAGTCATTTTTCTCAGCTTTATGTGGCTTCTGAAGTTGTTGGCTTAACTGAGAAAATGCTTTAAAGTAGTTAGAGTCCTTTTTAGAAAGGTTATCTCTAGTTATAAGTTTTTGAAGTATATCTTGACTCCAATCTTCGTCCGTCATACATACACAAATACTATTTGGATTTCATTTAAAAACAATATTTGAGATAGCGTTCTGTTATCACAATCGCGAAATCGATACAAAAAGAAGCCGTTCATATAAACATCAACCAAAGGCATTTAATACTTGATTTGTTGCTCATTTACAAGTAAAAATCAGTGAGGGCATCCACTGTAGTTTAGCAATGGCTAATAAAGCAACGGACACGGATGCTCTCGTGCAATCCACCAAATTTAATTGGTCATCTTTATCAAATAAAGCTAAGGCAAAACAGAAAGAAACAGGTATAAAAGTTAAAGATTCTGACAAATATGATAGTGGAGCCGTTAATGATGCTCTAATAGAGGACATTTCCAACCCTGACAAGGTAGGTGGGACTACGAAAGATATGGAGAAAGTGCGCAAAGGTAATAGGAAAGCTGAGGCTACTGTTGCTTCCGACAGTACACTATCTAATAATGGAAAAGTTTATCATAATAGTGAGGAGAACATGCCTCCTGTATCAAATGGAGTAGTTTCAGGGTGGTGGCTATGGTCTTCGAATTCAAAGGAGCCAGTGGAAGACACATCTAACCAAATAGAAGCAAATAGGGTCGACAGCTGGACTGATTGGATATCTCCTTACAGGAATGCTGCCACAGATTATGTGTATCTGAAGACATCAGTTAACGAAAGGAAAGATCATCAAGGGACGGAAGCACCAATTGAGTCCAACTCGCTTGGACCCCAAAATAGAGATACCCCAGAGAGCCATTCAACTCAACCAGTAAAAAGCAGTTGGTTTACATGGTGGTTTTTAAATAGTTATTCCACAGTCGAAAGTGTTGACGATAACGACTCCTTAATTAAAAGTGCTAAGGCATTCATAGAGACTTCTAAAGATAATTCGCACTATGCATTCAAGTCATCCATCACTGACCCCAAGTCGAGAGATTTTATGCTAGCAGTCAGTGATACGCATACAGAGAAACAACCAGTGAGATACAATTTAAAAAAGCGACCTCTTACTCCAAACGAAGTTCAAGAAAGGACGTTGAAACAACCATTCACGAATGGTCCTGCAAAGCTCAACGATCAAAACAGCAATAAAGCATATCCTAAAGATGTGCCTCCAGAATTTGTATTTCCCCATTTAGAGGAAAACTTTAGACATATCACCTTAAGAACAAGGCTAAGGCTAATTGGTGAGAGCTTTTTATATAAGAACAATACCTCGGAATCACATCTATACAGATCTAAGGACTCAAAGATACGCAACCGAGCAAAAGATCATCTAAAAAAAGTAGTGATAGTTGGAGTTCATGGATTTTTACCGATAAAAATGGTCAAGACGTTGATTGGACATTCGACTGGACATTCCATAAAATTCGTAAAAGAGGCTACGGAAGCATTTAGAAAGTGGCAAAGTATGAATTCTGAAAATGATTTACATGATTGTGACATTCAAACAATCGCATTAGAAGGTGAAGGTAAGATCGAGGAAAGGGTATCAAAATTGCTAAAATTATTGGAAAACTGGATAGATATCATTTTGGAATGTGATTTTCTTTTTTTTGTATCACATTCACAGGGTACTCCCGTTGCTATCCAATTACTAGCCGAACTTATCACCAAGCATAGCATATATAATAAAAAGATAGGTTTACTAGGAATGTCTGGTATATTGTGCGGGCCCCTCGCAGGCTTGGATTCAAAACTAGTTATCCGTGCTTATTCTACTACGGAAAATGAAATCATGAACGAGCTATTTGAGTATCAAAAACCAACGAGCCATTTGTCTATGAAACTTAGAGAAAGCATGCAAATACTTACGAGAAATAATGTTAAAATAACATTAAGTGGGGCTGTGAATGATCAATGGATTCCCATCTTCTCGTCTCTTGGTTATAATTTCGACCATCCGAATATATTCAGGTTCTTATATGTCGATGAGTCTAGCAATGTTCCTGAATTCATCATATCCCTTTTAAAGGTAATAGCTATTATGAGAAATATGGGATATCAGGACCATAATCTTGTTAGAGATTTGAGTAATCGATGTATGGGTACTATTCAAGACGGCGGCCACTGCAAAATATACCAAGATCAAGAGGTTTATCTAACAGCAATTAAGCACAGCTTGGAGACAACATCTTTGTATCGTCGCAGAGATTTGACCTACATTCCTATAATCAATGTCAAAGCTTCGGTAAATTTATTCTCGTTGCCCTGGAACTTCCGAGGCTTGATACACGATCTAATGACAGTCAGAAACATTTCCAATGTGAGGCTTGTGGCCCGGCTTTTGCATGACTTCAATTCTTGGAGTCCTACAAAACACTGGAAAGAGTTGAAATACTGCTTCAGTGCTCTAGAAGGTATAGAATTCGAAGAGTTAGTACTATAGTTACTGTAAATATACCACTATTCTCTGTCATGTGATCAAGGACTGTACATCAACTGGGCATGCTCGGTCTCCTTTATCATCGGTTTTACATATAGGAATAAAAAGGTGTAGTCATTAAGAAACTAAGTTCAACTATCTGATAAATAAAGAAGGATATCATCAAGCTTACCATATCACTCCTTGACTTGGGATTGAAATTCACTTTTAAAGTTTTGTAGAGTGTGGAATTCATTTGGTTGCGATATTACTGTTTCATATTCCGTGTCAAAGTGTATATAAAAGAGACGTAACAGAGGACTTGAAAAATGTCAGCAGATGACAATGGATCATCCAAACGGACGAGAGCGTCTGGAGAGGTGTTGGACTTCCTTTTGCAAGAATTCGAAAATAACCATAACCCCAGTCCGGAGCAAAGAAAAGAAATCAGTGATAGAACAAATATGTCAGAGAAGGCTGTCCGTATATGGTTTCAAAACAGGAGAGCTAAGATGAGGAAGTTCGAACGTATGGGGGTGAATAACAATGGTGCAAGCTCAAGCTACTCAAATACTCCTAGCCATACTGGTAGTCAAGTAAGTTCCTCAGATCAATATGTGTCTCTGGTTCTGGGAATACCCATTGAAATTAACGAAAAGTACTGCTTCATCGACTGCACATCATTATCAGTTGGTTCATGGCAACGCATAAAGAGCGGTGATCACAATGAATCTTTATTGATAAATAATTTGGTAAATCTTTCACCATTCACTATCGATAGTATCATGGTTCAAGTTGATTTATTGGTGATACTATCTAAGAGGAACTTTGAAATAAACTATTTCTTCAGTGCCGAATCTAATAACTCCAAGATATTGTTCAGGATATTTTATCCAATTTCAAGCATAGTGACATGTTCCCTTGTTGATAACAATATCAGTAAGGAAAACATTGAGCTTAGACTTAGTTTGTCTCATCAACCGAAGTTTTCCGTTTACTTCTTCAATGGTGTTAGCTCGGATACAAACCAGTGGTCGATATGTGATGATTTTAGCGAGGGTCAACAAGTCAGCCAAGCACACTGTGGCGAAGGAGGCTCTTCTACTCCACATGTGTTAGTCGGATTTAAAAACTCTTTACAATTTTTAAATTCCTTTATTTTGGAAAATAATCAAGCGCATGCTTCAACTTATCACCCACATGTACAATTGTCAGATCCAAGCAGCGATGGACAATTCAGTCACAATTTGAACGTATGGAGTGATAATAAGCTAGACCATCATTCTCGGTTGGCTAATTCAAAGGGATTAACGAATTCTCCTCTTACACAGTTTGACTCTGATGCATCGCCCATATCTATCGAAAGTAACGGTGTACGTGAGAACCACGGTTCCGTATTGGCTCTAGAGAGCTCAACGAGAGATCATTTCACCGATGTTTTCTCTGCCCATACTCCCGATTTTTTTCCTTCACAAACACCAAACTCATCTATGCAAGTGAGTATTAACCATGAAAATTTGATAAACAGCCCATCTACAAACCTTCAGTCATATACACATTCCGCGTATTCCCCAATTGCACAGCTTCCACATGATCCTGAAACTGAGATCTCTGCGGAACCAGGTTCAGCTTTTGACTTCAATATCACTAGTACAAATACCACTAATAACAATTCAGTTGAAAATTCGAACCGTTCTTCGACTCCTTCAAATCATAATAATCAAATTGACAGTTTCATCGACTATAATAGCCATGATTCTTGATTCATAGGCTCTCACCGAACCTATCAATGCATTATCATTTAATTCTTTTAAGTTATCATCTCCTCTTAGCTCCAGTTAGATCTAACTGGTTCAACAGAGAAGTGAATAAATCAATATTTAATGTTATAGTAATTTCAATCTGCATGTAAGCTATACTAAATAATTCTACGTCTGCGTAGATAAAGTTAATGCTACACAATAAAGCTATTTAGTCTTCTCATATTCATGATTATTGATCGATATAATGTTGGATATGGTCTCTCAAGGTCACTCGTTGGTTTAGTGAGATACTATTCTTCAAGTGTAACGAAAAGAAGACCTGATCTCCTATCAATTCTTCCAAAGAAAAAAATTATCAACAAACTTTTATTTGATTTCAACAGTAGATTAACATATAAGAAAGCACTTCCAGTCCTCGAAAGCATATACAAGCATCTAGATAGCCCTGAAGAGATAATATTGCCCAATTATGTAAAGGGCCAAGATTTGATGACCTTGAAATCCATGCTTTCAGGCGTACGAAAGGTTACAAACACCATAGAGACAAATTTGGTAAATCTAGAGACTGAATTGGTCGAACAGGCTGCAGAAATGGGAAATAACGATGCTATAACGATTCTAGCGTTTGATACGATTCAAAACTCATCATCAACTAAGGAAGACTACCGTTATGCAACATCGTTAATAAAAGAATTAACTGATATGAAACATCCTTTGGTCTTTAAAATGGGCGGTGACCTAGCTTTCAAAAAAAAATACTACGAGCAGGCAGAATACTACTGGCTTGATTTTTTGAAAGTGGAGTCTGATACAATTGCAGCTGCTCAAGTTTACTCCAATTTGGGTATATACTACTTCAGTTACTTACGGCCTCGTCCTAATCTAACCAAAGCCAAGTTGTGCTTTGAAAAAAGCATAAAACTTGGGGAGCTTGATGAATACACTGTCCGTAGTCACTACTACTTGGGCCAGCTATATGCCATCACTGAACCTCAATTGTCTAGGTACCATTTAGAAATTGCTGCTTGTAAAGCTTTGAAAGAAAGCTTCCTGACTTTGGGATTTTTGGAAATGAATGTGTTTAATAACTTAAATTCAGCTTACGAATGGTTTAAGTTAGGGGTTGAAGCAAGTAAAGACTTAACTTGTATGATGGGCCAATTTGACTGTCTTATTAGATTGGAACGCTTCAAGGATGCAGCTTCGACATTAAAGACCTTGAACACTATCTCTCAACAAATTAAAAAGCTATCAGGGAAAGGTGACCTTCTGGCAGACGTCAAAGAACATATCATGACAAATGATGCATTGCTAAAATTATTTTTTGATACTAGGAGGAATGAAGTTGATTTATTAAGGAATCTCTAATTGTACATACATTTCTAATTTTATATAACCATTCTTCTTACTATGACTGAGTATCCGAGTTGAACTTCAATTCGGATGTAAATGCTTCCTTCAAGGTAAGCGGTTTGCTGTCAGACCTTACTGGAACCCGCTTCGGACTCACTACCATGTCTACCTCCGACTCAATATCCTCTTCTTGAAACCAAGGATGATTGCAAGTTTGATTGATATCGAATCGACTTTCCGGTTCTACTACTAACAAATTTGAAATTAACTCCAAGGCTGAGTCACTAATATCATCCCAATATGGAGAGTAAAATGCATAGTTCCCTGTCAAAATTTGTTCTTTCATGTTTGGTGGGGCAAGCTCTTCGCTGAACGGCGGAAAGCCACACAAGCATACATATAGAAGAACTCCAGCCAGCCAAAGATCAACTTTTTTAGAATATTGAAGCTCGTTCGCAAGAATTTCTGGTGCCACGTAAGCTGGTGTTCCACATAAAGTATTAGTAAACTTTAACTCTCCTATAAACTTTGCTAAACCAAAATCAGCTATCTTAACTCTAACGTCGTATTCATCACTATCCCATGGCCCTAACTGTTCCTGATCCTTGGAAGATCGTGGTATGATATCTAGTAGTATATTTTCTGGCTTAATATCTCTATGAATAATGTCATTTGCATGTAAGTAATTTAGACCCGAGAGAAGCTGTTTAAAAATTTCTTTGGTTTCATCTTGATTTAATTTCAGCTTGTTGATGATTCTTTGAAATAGTTCGCCGCTGTTTACTTTCTCTAGAACCAAATACGTTGCTACCTGATTTTGATTTACAGGCTCCACATAATGAGAAATGAATCTTACTATATTCGGATGATTGATTGATAGAAGCAAATTGATCTCCTGCTGTAACTTAATATCGTCAGATGAAGTATTGTTTCTGTTAGGGTGGAAAATCTTCACAGCTACTATATCCCCGTTTGTTCTGTCCCTCGCTTCTTTTACGACGGCATAGTGCCCAGTTCCTAATTGTTTACCCACAATGTAATCGTCAAAGAAGGATTTTCTATTGCGATTCTCTTTGTTATCGAAGTCAAAGACATAACGGAAAATAAAAGATCCTCCAGTCTTAGCAAAACCTATCTTATCACCACTCTTGAGTAACAAACTTGACCCTCTACCAAGCTTCTCGTCGTTTATAAAGACGCCATTTGAACTCATATCGACAATGAAAAGAAGTTCCTTTTCATTACTTGATGTCAATGCTAAATGGCAATGTTTAGATGAAACATCTGATCCTGATATTCTAACATCGCAAGAGCTACTCCTTCCAATCAACACTCCACTCGGTTTCCTTGGGATGCTTATGTGAGAATGTTCTTTATCTAAACTGAATAGTTTAGCTATGCTTTCGTAATTAAATGTCTTTCGCTTGAACTTTGACTGTTGATCTTCATTTACTTCAATGCCATAGTACTGTCTCTTTCTAGATAAAGACATTGCTTATAGCAACACCGATTTTAGTGATGAAATCAATCTTCTGTTTACAAAATATACTTACGCGAAATTAATATAATGCAAAAAAAAGGTTCCTATATAATTCTAGAAACTATGTCATTAAGCTCATAATCATTAAGATCGTGCAATTGGGAATCAAAATTGGATCTTAACTCTCTAAATTTGACTGTATTATTTTTGTAAGACTTAGCAGACAAACCATTCAAGCTGGATAGCAATTCGATGGATTGAGACACCTTTAAGTAGTTCTTATTATGTAGATTTGAAACATTAGTATTATTATTATTCAAAAAAAGGTCTATTCCGAAGGAATCTGCAAGATATCTGAAATCAAGCTTGAGCTGCTCGATCCCCTGGGGTGTAAATGTGTTATTAGTGATAACGTAATCTTGAAAGATTTTAGATAAGCGAGTCACAATTCTATCGGTGATTACATAGTAATCAAGGTCCGAGAGAGCCCTTTTCAAATACTCAAGGTACATTGGAAGATTGCCAATAAGTGGTGATAAATCAGGAGACGGTTCTGCACCATCGGGGAGCGACTTTATGTTCCAATTTGCCGAAGTGACGTAATTCTTTAATAAAAGTTTCATTTCTCTTTCAAAAAAGTCTTCAAACCTAGCAATGCACTTGTTAATAAGTTCTTGATACTGATCAATAGACAGGTCAAATATAGTCAGATCTTCGTTATAATCTTTGGAGCTGAATGCCTTAAAAGCATTCCATAGTTGAATGTATATGAGCTCGTTGCTCCATAGATACAAATTTTCTTGTACATACTTTGCCAGACAATAAACCTGAGTGATCTCCTCTACGGCACCCAATGAGCTTTTAACATCAGAACTCAAACTTTCAGAGCTCATTCCACCAGGAATAAAACTTAGATTCGAAAACTCTTTGGAATGTTTGAATAGGCTCCTTAATCTCTCAATATATGAATCAATTAACTTTAAATGAATCACCGAGACGTACTTCAATTGATACTTAACAATGCTTAAAGTATTAAAGTGGTTAGTCAAATTATTCAATAGCCTTGTCAAGTTATAAGCCGAGTATGTTGGCTTTAAAATGTAACTGCTTCTTTTAGAATCCATCCCTTCCTCAGAAACGTGATAATCAAAGTCTATCTTGAATGCATCATCAAAACCCAAAATTTCAGATGAAAACCGTTTCTCTGCCAAAGATAGCTCAAAGCTTAACCAATTATCAGCAGCTAAGCTCTCATCTGAATCATGTAGGAAAACATCTGCTGTTATTCCACCCCATTTTCTTGTAGGTATGATCGAAAGATCTTCAATATAGGGATTGTATTTATAAGAAGTTCTTAATCTTTGGTCGAAAGAAGACAATTCGTAAATTAAATGCGATAAAAGCCGGCCATTTTTCTCAAGCTTTACAGGATCAAGTCTAAACTTTTCAATATTCTCATCTATAGATTTTAACATTCCATGCATTTTTTCACGAATTGGATTTAAAAGTGCTGTTATAAGTTCATATGCGAAAATTCTCTTAGTAATAGTAAAGCTGTGCTCAAAAGTAAGCTCCAAGTAGCGCAATTTCTCTGAAAGAAAGTTGTCAACAAACTGAAGTGCCCATTCTGGCTTTGAGAGCTTATTGGTTTCTCTATGAGGCGTGTTAAAATGATAATTAAAACGTACGAATATGGGCTCTAACAAGACATCAAGAGCCCACCATGAATGTGGATATTGTGGGACTTGGTATAGCTGCTGAAGATGGATCAAATTAGTAAACTTTGATTCAAGTTCTGCAATTTCACTTGATGAAATTTTCATTGGTTGTGCCAGTTGGTCCAATAATTTAGTCTCCCTTAAAATGCGCCTTAGATCGTCCTCTGATGATTTCCTGGCTATTGAAATTTTACTCCTAAAATTAGCTAGAATTTCACGTACTACATCTTCTTTACAATCTGACTTATAACCATTCAAATCATCAATAGCCTTCGCAATTTCTGGAAATAATTCTTCTTTACTGGCATCTAGTTCAGCGATACGCTCCTCTACCGATTTAGCAGTATTCAAGAAATCTATAGATTTTAGAATATCCCTTTTTCTCTCATATTTAGTCCTCAATTGTGAAACAGCTTGAAGTTCACCATAATCTTCTTCTACTTTCTCGAGCTCTCTCTCATTTGTCGTGTCATTTGTATGATCCTCCGCTAACTCAAGGCCCCTTATTTTTCTGAGAGCATTTAACACCGCTTCTGCTTCTGTCTTCATTCTCTTCTGTCCTTCATTATCTTCATCGTCTTCATCTATTGACTTACTCTTTTTTTCTGCTATTCGTTTTATTCTGGCTTTCAAGCCTTTGAGCTCCTCAAATTTATCATCGATATTATCCAAGTCAGCAATAGTAGAAATATTTGCATTGATATAATCCATTGTCGCAACAAGGTTGCTTCTCTACTCATTTAGTTTGAATCAATCGTAGGTCGGAGACTGGTAATTATTCATGTCATTTTTCGTAAGCTCGATTACATAAGCTCTGAGTCCACCTTTGAAAAAAATGAATTCATTGAATGTAAGTGAATTAACGTGTATTAAGCAGGCGTCAACATCTTGATAAATCAGATTGAAGTAAGGTTTGTGCTAACTAAAGAGATTATTAGTTAAAGAGAAAATGCAAGCGCCAGTTGTTTATATGAATACATCTACGGAAAGGCAGACGGGTCGACAAGCCCAGATCGCCAATATTACTGCAGCAAAGGCAGTGGCAGATATAATCCGTACTTGTTTGGGGCCCAAGGCAATGTTGAAGATGTTGTTAGATCCTATGGGAGGAATAGTTTTAACAAATGATGGTCATGCAATCTTGAGAGAGATTGATGTATCGCATCCAGCAGCGAAGTCCATGATTGAGTTGAGTAGGACTCAGGACGAAGAAGTTGGCGATGGAACTACGACGGTAATTATATTAGCAGGAGAAATATTAGCCCAGACTTTTCCTTACATCGAGAAAAACATACACCCTGTTATAATTATTCAGGCTTTAAAGCAAGCTTTAAGTGACGCATTGGAATTTATTCATGAGGTTTCCGTTGAAGTCAACATTCATAATGATGAGGCAATGATAAAGCTCATCAAAGCTTCTATTGGAACTAAATACATAAGAAAATGGTCTGAAAAGATGTGTGAGTTGTCTTTAAGAGCAGTTAGAACCGTCTATATTGAAGAAGGTGATTATAAAGAAATCGATGTCAAGAGATACGTTAGAATTGAGAAAATACCCGGTGGTGATGTCACTGACAGTGAGGTTTTAGATGGTATCTTATTGAACAAGGATGTAACGCACCCAAAAATGAAGAGATATATCGAAAATCCACGAATCATATTATTGGACTGCCCCTTAGAATACAAGAAGGGAGAATCACAAACAAATATCGAGATAACCAAAGAAGAGGACTGGAATAGAATTTTGCAAATTGAAGAGGAACAGGTTAAACAGCTTTGCGACCACCTTTTGGAATTTAAACCTGATTTGGTGATAACTGAGAAGGGTGTAAGTGACTTGGCTCAGCACTACCTTTTGAAAGGTGGAGTAACTGCTTTGAGAAGAGTCAAGAAGTCTGACGACAACAGAATTGCCCGTGCCACAGGTGCTACTATCGTGAACAGAATCGAAGATTTGAAAGAATCAGACGTTGGTACCAAGTGTGGCCTTTTCAAGGTTGAATTAATTGGTGATGAATACTTCACTTATTTGGTCAAGTGCAAGGAACCTCATGCATGCACAGTAGTTTTGAGGGGAGCTTCAAAGGACATACTTAACGAAATTGAGAGGAACTTGCATGATGCAATGGCTGTTACCAGAAATGTAATGTTTGAACCTTCTCTTTCACCTGGAGGTGGAGCAACAGAGATGGCTGTTAGTGTCAAGCTAGCTGAAAAAGCAAAAACTATCGAGGGTGTTGCGCAATGGCCCTACCAAGCGGTAGCAGATGCTTTTGAAGTCATTCCAAGGACATTAATTCAAAACTGCGGTGGAAATCCCATCAGAGTTCTTTCTCAGCTCAGAGCGAAGCATGCAAAAGGTGAACACACCTTCGGTATTGATGGTGATCTTGGAAAGATTGTTGATATGAATGAGTATGGTATTTGGGAGCCGGAAGTCATTAAACAACAATCTATTAAAACCAGTATTGAAAGTGCCTGTCTATTATTAAGAGTCGATGACATTGTGAGTGGTGTGCGTCAACAACAATAATTCACAAATTTTCATCATACCCCTACACATATAAACTTTAGAAATTGATGGTTATCTTTGTTGAATTTTATAATCATCTAATTATCTAACTAATACAGCGATGAGTCTCTTATGTTGTATTGTATGTAGAGCAGTTTAATAATCTAATAGATGTCTTCCCAAAAGTCTCAGGTGCAACCAATCTAGGAGTGTATATAATGTTTTATATTTATGAATTTCCTATGTAGGGAACTGTTGCATGTCTGACCCACTGTAGTATTTACTTATGGACTAAGGAACCTAAATATTCGATTCAAAAGAGAAGTTTATGCGGTCATAGCATCGCAGCCGCATCTTCTGAAAAGGAATTAAGGTGTTGCTCTCGTTTTCGTACTCGACGAAAGCGAGGATTTAATATACCACATATAGTTTTTCTTTTAAGGCATCAAGGGTAGCGGACTGGTTTATACTTCCCTGAAGACTTGAACAGGAACCTGAGCAACAACCTATAACAAATTTAATTGAGTTTAATCTGGTTTAAATTGTTTCAAAGAACCTTGAGTAACGCATTTTATCCAATCACTTGTCCTAATCAAAGTCATAAACCACGCCCATGAATACGTATTCACCCCCATTCAAAGTTCGAACAAAAGTATCTTGGCCAGGTGAAGAAGAAGGCGATTTAGGGTTCATGGAGAATGAGATTGTCCATGTTCTTGCAATTGTGGATGAAAGTTGGTGGTCAGGAAAGTTGAGGAGGAATGGCAGAGAGGGAATCTTCCCCAAGGATTATGTTGAAATAATCGAGGATTTGCTTCCCAAGTCAACATCTAGTCAGTCAATAGCCACGCCTAAAAAGTTACTGTCTAAAGCGGTTATTAATAATGAAATTGTGAAAGCCAACTCTTCGGACTCACCTTTTCATAAATCTTATCCTAATCCATCGAAGCCCCAGCTTCAAGTGACCAATAAGCGTTGCGGACCTAACACGTCCTTCAACGTCGAACAGAGCTTTGATGATAGTTTCAATAATTTGGATCCCGATCAATGTACACCAAAATCGAAGACTCCAACGCCTCTGAAGAAAAAGAGATATTCAGCTGATTATGTATCTCCCTACAACATGTCAAGCGACAACATGAAAGATTACAATACGCATGAAGATATAATCAGGCAGAAGGAAAATGAGATCCAATATCTCAAGTACTTGAAGCAACAAAATAATAGTGTAATCAATTCTATCATTAATCAACAGAAACGTGCTCTGTTTCATCAACAAGATGTGTTAAATAGCGCAGCTGGTTCTCCAAGCCTGAGAGTAACGACGCCGAAGAGCTCCAAGCATACGTCTCCGTATAATAATCCAGATAGTGCAAAATCGTATTCAAGAAAATCGTTAACGACGGAAGATAAGCTTCTGCCGTTTCGAGGCTCTAATTCTCCTTTGATGAAACGTGATCGCTTTATGGAACTGGATCCTTCTTTTTTTTCAAGAGAGGTTTACCCAGATTCCGATGACATAACTTTAAAGAGGAAGCAACTAGAGATGGAATTGCGTAGAATAAAACAATTAGAATCCTCTGTCCAACGGAAACAACGTTTACATGGACTTGCCTTGTCTAAGCACGATAAAATTGAAGGAGATCCATCTTATGATTCGGGATACATCAGTGAAGATTTAATCTCGTCCAAGAAAAATTACTTTGATTCTAGGGATGAGTTAAGCAGAAAGTTGACTTCGTACATCTCAGATGAAGAGAATGACGGTGAATCAGGGTCTCCACCCCCACCACCTCCCCCGAAGCACACAGCTCCAGTTAAAGCGTTCCATTTTTATGACCAAGAGTTAAATCAAGAGACTGACAGAAAAAGCAACAGGAAATGTCCTTATGATGCAGACGATTTTAAAATTTCCGGTCATTCTGAGAAAAGGATAGCTGTTTCGGAGGATGAACTTCTCATGCTTTCTCAAATGCAACATGAGGATTTGAAAAACTCTATAAAGTCTTTGCAAAGTGATGTATTAAACTTGTCTGAATTAAGTGCAACGAGTGCTGGTAGCTTTATGAGGCATAAATACCAGAAAGAACAACAACAGCAAGAATTCAGGTTTAAGAAACTCACTCTTGATGAAGACGAAGAAAATTCTGTGGGTAACAATAGCCAAAAGAGTGATCTTAACAAAGAACTTATGGAGAATATGTTTCAAGATAAAAAAGCAAGGCATCCGAATATATTTAAAAAACTTATTCAGAGAAAGAGGGATGAAGACAACGTCAATCCATTGGAGCAAAAATTATCGAAAGACCTGGAGGTTAACTGGACCACGTTAAAATCTGATTTGAATAGAGTGAACACTTTGACATCGCAAGACAAGCAGTCTAGAACAAAGAGGGTCGTAAGGGAGATCGGAACGTTAATCGTTAAGCCTTTTGACTATGTCACTGAGATTAATACAGATGAAGTAACCGGTGAAATTGACGATGATTTCCCAGAATTAGATTTTTCAAAATTGTCTTTTGAGAAAGTTGATAAGTTTATGAGCGGCTACGAGATATCAATTGATATCAACGAATTAATTTCAGATATAAGTGTGAAATTTCATTCTTTTCAAGTATTTCAAATTAGAGCTGTTCTCATTCATTTGTGCAAATTTAGGATTATCCAAGAACCGAATAAGATACTGCAGCTTAAGCCAAGGCTAGGTGAGATATTACATAAGGGCGAAGCCTCAATTTATCAGCTTAACTATTTATTCAAGAAAATACTTGGTGCTTTAGGGATTCATTCTGAAGTAGTTTTGGGCTTCTGGAAAAAGCCAAGTGAATTCTATCATGATGAGCAATATGTCATCAATCACAGCTGGCTCTCAGTTTTAGTCAGCAATCGATTCATGATCTTGGACTTGTTGTCGTTTAAGAAAGGAACCCTTTGCAATATTCGAAACAGAAAGGACGGTTTCAACGAATTTTACTTCTTATGCAAACCGATGAGTATCATATCAACTCATATTCCATCAAACATAGAATTGCAACATGTAGTTCCTCCAATTGATCAATGCGTCGCTTTTCATTTACCAAGACTTTATTCGGGCTTCTATAACAACAGGCTTAAATTCATGAACTTTAATAATGCTTTAACTAGATTGAAAGATTTAGAGATCTTTGAGGTTGACTTGGAGATCCCTGTTGACGTCGAGCTCTTTACTTTGATCAAAACGGCGAAGACCACGACCAATGAGTCCTGTTTGTGTCAAGTAAAATGGGTTAACAATAGGCGGACAGCTAAGATAAAAGCAATTCTTCCAAATGGTGAAAAAATTGGCGTCTTGCAAGTATTTGCGGGACCTAAAGGGATTCAGAAATATTTCGACAACATTCATGAATTGGCTATCGTGGTACCAATCTACCATGAGGGAATACAAAGAGATTGTAAATTCGTCCCCAGATTTCCTACTGTTCAAAGTCAAGATAATGACTTGTATATTGAACAGCCACAAGTTAGTAAAGTGATAATTAAAAATTCATACAACTTTCAAGTGTATCAGTATCCTTCTAGAGACTTGAATTCTGGAACTGGCTTAATGATTCAGGACTTTAAATTGGTAATAGAATCGCCATCAGGAAAGTACTTCAAATTGAACAAACAAGACCCAATTGTGCCTTATGGGCTTTACGAAGCTAACATTAAATGTCAAGAAGTTGGGCTCTACAGAGGTTTAGTCATTGGCGATACCGGTAATAGCTGGTATGTCTTCACACAATGGGAGTGCGTGCAAGGAACAGTCACAAATTAATAGCATTCAATAGACTTTCAAGGCACTTACAATATTTAATAAGCATACTAGATTTGCATTTCTTGATCCCATGGTGGATCTTTATCGTCACAACTATTAGCAGCTTATCCTTTAATTTCGCTCTCTTCATAAATGAAAACTATTTAAGACTGCTTACCGTCTGTTTTATACAAATAAAAACTAGCATAAGAATTTCCCGTAGATATTACTGCTGAAATTACAGCACGTAGTGAAAAGGTCTGACAAAGTGAACTATTGGAATACTTAAAACATCACGTGACATTGGATATATAGATTAGAGATTTAGATGATGGTGATATTTGAAAGTTTATTCGATGGTATGATCACAATAAATAATGAGGCTGGCCATAGCACCGGCGGTGTCAGAAATGGAATTCGAGCTCAAAACAAGTATTCTAAAGAAAGAAAAGTAGGTGAAGGTACTTATGCGGTTGTCTACTTAGGGAAGCAACTCACATCTGGTAGAAGAGTAGCTATCAAGGAAATAAAAACAGGTTTGTTCAAAGATGGCTTAGATATGTCAGCCATAAGAGAGGTAAAGTATCTACAGGAATTAAAACATCAGAATGTAATAGAATTAGTGGATGTATACTCTGCCAATAGTAACCTAAATTTGATATTAGAGTTTTTACCGTATGACTTGGAGATGCTAATCAAAGATACATCGGTCGTTTTTAATGCATCAGACATCAAATCGTGGCTACTTATGACTTTGAGGGGAATTCATCATTGTCATAGATGTTTCATTTTACATAGGGATTTAAAGCCCAATAATTTATTACTATCTCCAGATGGACACTTAAAGATAGCTGATTTTGGGTTAGCTAGGTCCTTGGGAAACATGAATGAAGACTTATCATCAAATGTAGTTACGAGATGGTATAGGGCTCCCGAATTATTATTTGGAGCGAAACATTATACTGAGGCAATTGACATTTGGTCGATAGGTATCATATTTGCGGAATTAATGCTAAGGACTCCGTATTTGCCTGGCAAGGATGACATTGACCAACTAGATGTTACTTTTAGAGCATTGGGAACACCTACAGAGCAAATGTGGCCAAATGTTTCCAATCTTCCTTTATACAATGCATTAAGGGTATATCCACCACCATCAAGACAAGAATTAAGAAACAGATTCAGTGCAGCCACGGAAACCGCACTAGATTTGATGATAGGAATGACTCTGCTTGATCCTAGTAAGCGCTTAAATCTGACAAATTGCTTATTACATGAATATTTCTTAGAGTTGCCTAGGCCATCTGAACCTGAACAATTGCCAACCAGGGCACAATCCAAGAGCAATAATACAGATAATGAACAACCAAGTCTCAAAAAGATAAAAGTATGAATATTCAAGTAATAATTTAAATAGTCTAACAAAGTTCATTAATATCTAATGCGTTTTTAACCGCACCTATCTATTTGTGATAAATATCTTTGACGTACTCTCCAATAGCCCAAGAAGCAGTTAAACCTGGGCTTTCAATTCCGATCAAATTAACAAATCCAGGAAATCCCTCTTCCTCTCTGATAATAAAGTCAGCAAATTTCTTCTTGTTTTCTGAGGCTGAATATATTTTGGGTCTAACGCCAGAATAAGACGGTTGCAAGTCATGCTCTTGAATCTTAGGGAAATATCTACGAACGGCATTATATGCACCATCTATGTTCTTGTCGCTTGCTGTATAATCAATATCATTGGCATCATCAATATCAAGCCATTCTAAATCGGGCCCAAATCGAATTTGGCCTCCTAGGTCAAGAGTTAGGTGCGTGCCTAGTGAAGATGCATTGGGATTTGGACACGGATATATCAACTTTGATGTTATACTAGATGCTTTAATCGGAACCTCAGGGTTGTAGCTGAAATAACTACCCTTAGCAAAGTAGCTATCAAAATGCCGGTCTTCAGGCAATAATAAGTTAGAGACTTTCTGGGCATGTAAGCCTCCCGAGTTCACTACATTATCAGTGGTTATTTCAAAGTTCTCCGAGGAGTTTGTCTCCTTTAATGTCAATGTATAGTTTGACAGTCCCTCATTATAGTCTATATCAACGACCTCTGTGTTCAATCCAATGATACCACCTTCATCCTCAAAACGTCCTTCGAAGAAGAGGGTGTAATCGTGAGCAGATATGATTCCAGTAGTAGGGCTCTCTAGTGCTCCTCCCGCAGCTCTAATTAGTGGGAACTTTTCGTTTACTTGCTGCGACAGCCATAGATTAGTATCAACACCCAAATCATTTGAATTTTTCTGAAGCCCCACTAGGTATTCAAACTCTGATTCATCTTGCGCTACCACGAGCTTCCCGCATTTCTGAAGCAGAACTTGAAACTTTCCAGAATCATGAGCATCATATATACGCTGCTTTCCCTGAATACACAAGTTTGCTTTTAAACTATCTTTAGGATAGTATAAACCGGCATGTATTACCTCTGAGTTTCTTGAAGTCGTTTCCATACCCAACGCTTCGTTTTTTTCAACTAGTAAGACGTTGTTTCCTTGAAAGCCCTGCAATTCAGCTGCTATAGACACACCAACACACCCACCCCCTATTACAACATGTGAAAATTCAGACCTCGATGAGATGCATGAAGAAAACTTTCTGGCACTGGACAAAGTCAATCCTAATCTTCTTATCATTATTTAATCTTCTTTATATGTTAATTTCTTTACGTTAGACGTGATTCTCGGAGATAAAGTGTATGATAGACTGAACCAAGAAACACAACAGTGCACTTCAGCTCAATTGTACAATCTTCAGTAATGGTGTATTTTTTCACCTATATCAAGTATCTTTTGTCTCACAGATATGATCTTTATCTCGTAATTGTACACTACTACATATTCTTGAAGTGAAAAGTCGCTCAAATTAGCGTTCAGTGCCTTTTAAGAAAGAACAGAGCTTTTTTTCCAACGATATCGTTCAACCTCTTCCTTCTGGTATACCTGTTTCCATCCCAGATTGAGCAGTAGGAGCAGCAGATAAAGCTGCTCCATAATATAAATATCGCTCCTGTATATATTCATAAGGTTCCAAGTTCGAGTCTCGTACAAACCTTTATATAACCTTTTTTTTTTCTTTCTAATTGATAGAGCATCCTACACACGTGGGATAATTGGACCCCTTCTTCTCTGTTAATGGTGTCGACGCCCGTTACAAAATTTGGAATCTGAATCTCATCAAAGAAGAAGGGTTTCTCTTTACATAGTTTCTAAAAGAGCTTCCTAGAACTTACTCCTATCAAGGACAACTACGAGTCTTGAAACCTGCTATCCTTAAAAGTGCTAGATAATAGGACCCTTATTCGTTAGTTTAAAATGAAGTTTGGCGAACACTTGAGAAATACTCTTATTAAGAATTATAGCTTTTATTATATAGCTTATGATGATTTGAAACATCAGTTGAAGAAAGGTTTGAAGGACAATGGCAATTGTTGGTCGAATGATCTTGAAGAAGAGTTTTTGAATTCATTGGAAAAGGAATTGGACAAAGTCTACTCATTCACCAAAGTTAAAAACACCGAGGTGAATAGGAGGTTAAAGGAACTGGAGAAGTATGTTCACCAGGTTGTGAGTGCCTTACAAAATCGATCGGAACCACAACCTCAAGAACAGGACTTCGAAGACCTCGAAGAAGAATTGTCGGATATCATTGCAGACGTCCATGATTTAGCCACGTTTACAAGGTTAAATTACACTGGCTTCCAAAAGATTGTTAAGAAACACGACAAAACAACCAAATTTAATTTAAAACCTATATTCCAAGCCAGATTAAATTCCAAGCCTTTCTTCAAAGACAATTATGACAATTTAGTTGTTAAGTTGTCTAAATTGTATGATTTGGTCAGAACCAGAGGTAATCCAGTTAAGGGTGACTCTTCGGCTGGTGGAGCACAGCAGAACTTCGTGAGACAAACTACAAAATATTGGGTTCATCCCGATAACATTACTGAGCTTAAGTTAATAATTTTGAAGCATTTACCTGTTTTGGTTTTCAACGCTGAGAAGGAATTTGAGCCCGAAGATAGTGCAATAACTTCCATTTATTTCGATAATAAAGCAATGGAATTGTATTACGGAAGATTAAGAAAGGATGAGGGAGCAGAGGCTATCAGATTGAGATGGTACGGTGGAATGGACTCCGACCAAATATTTGTAGAAAGAAAAACTCATAGAGAGGACTGGACCGGCGAAAAGTCTGTTAAAGCTAGATTTGCTTTGAAAGAAAAGAACGTCAACAGCTTTTTAAAAGGTACATTTACTGCGTCTGAGGCTTTTGAAAAGGCAAGGAAAGATGGCAAAAAGTCTGCCAAAGAAATAGATAATTTGGAGAGTTTAGCCAAAGAAGTGCAATACAAAATTTTGAAGGATAAGCTTCGACCTGTCATGAGATCTTTTTACAATAGAACTGCTTTTCAACTTCCAGGTGATGCCAGAGTAAGAATATCATTGGATACAGAGCTTACAATGGTGAGAGAGGATAACTTTGACGGACATGATAGAACCAATGGAAATTGGAGAAGAATGGATATCGGTGTTGATTACCCCTTTCCTCAATTACTAGATTCTGATGTCTGTCGTTTTCCATACGCTGTCTTAGAAGTGAAGTTGCAAACTCAGTTAGGACAAGAGCCACCCCAGTGGATTCGTGAGTTGATTTCAAGTCATTTAGTCGAAGCAGTTCCCAAGTTTTCGAAGTTTATTCACGGAGGGGCTACTTTACTTACCGATTACGTAAACTTACTTCCATTTTGGTTACCTCAGATGGATGTTGATATAAGAAAGCCAATAGACCATGAGGATATAGGAATTCATAGAAACCAATCTCAAAGAATTAAGTCATCCTCCTCAGGCGGTGAATTAGACGAGGAAGAACTTCTAGACAATGGTGAATATTCTGGATATACTGGAGTTCACTTCTCTAATGATACCAATCCATTAGAAGACGATTTGGAGGACACTACCCCCTTATTACCTGCCTCTTACTTGCATGAGTCCAGCAACAGTTCCTTATCAAAATTTTTCTTCAACCTTTATTTAAAATTTTTGCATTATTTCAATGATGACAGAACATTCACAGTTAAAGCTGGAACGAATTTTGATTTAAACAAGACTTTTGCTAAGAAGATTCCTAAGGGAAAGAAAATATATGTCCCTATTAGGATTGAACCCAAGGTCTATTTTGCTACTGAAAGAACCTTTTTAAGTTGGGTATCTATTGGTATGATTTTATATGCAACTGCGATGGCCCTTTTGAACTACGGTAACAAGAGTGCGTTGACAGCATCAATTGGGTTTTTTGCATGTGCCTTGTTCACATTGGCGTATTCAATCTACAAGTATCTATGGAGAGTTTTGATGATCAGGGAAAAGAAAGTCGTTAATTATGCAGATAAATTTGGTCCAAACATGATCTGTATTTGCATTGTTACGGCAACGTTTATTTCTTTTCTTTTTAGATTCTTACAACAATAATATGTAAATTTGAAATTTCTCCATTAGAATATAGTGTTCATAATTTTACTTTTGGTCTCAAGTTTTTTTCAATTAGATTGTAAACTTCGAGTGCAGAGCCATAACTTAATTCATAACCCATACCTCCAGCGCCGTAATTGTTTACAATAACAGTTTTATCGATTTGTTCAATATCAAGCTTGAGTCCCCCTTCTCTAGCTGGCCTGAATCCAACGTTTATTTTCTTAATGTCAAAATACTTTTTGCCATTATTATTTGTCTTCATATACTGCGGGTACCATTGACTTGCTCTTTGTATAAGGGCTCGGGTGTCCTCGTCGCTTACTTTATTGCTATAGTTCTCAGGCTGTTTAGTTCCCCCAATAATTATACCATTACTTAATGGTCTCGGGATGTAAAAGGTCCATTCACCATTCTTCAGTTGATGAGTAACTGTTGCTTTACGGTCCGCATTGGGTGGAGGCTCTACCAAGAGAGTCTGACCACGAATTGGATATGACTTTGGATCATATCCTCCGTAGTATTGTAGTCCCATTCCAGAGCAATTCACAATGATGCTATTAGGTCTAATATCTTTGACTTCCTTGAGAGAATTGAGCCTTTTTTGTACAAATGAAACCTTATAACTAGCCAACTGTTCGAGGAGGAAATTCAAGTAAATAGGAGGATTCAAAACCCACGTCTCGTACGAAGCTCCAAAGTTAACATTCTTAGGCAATTGTTCTTTAGGAATTAATTTAAAATCATTCATATCTTCAGAGTAGCCTTCCGTGACGTTTGAGTAGAACTGATCAGGATTGTCGATATAGTCCACACCCTCAATAAAGGCTACCGACGATTCTGGCCTCAGCTTTGCAAGATAGCGAAAATGCTTTTGAGTAAGTCTATTAAGTTTGTATTCTCTGAGCTCAGATTCAGATTTGCTAGGAAATGGTCGAAAGTGGGCTCCTGCCCATGGCGAAGTGTATTCTGGGGCATAAGTCTTATCGCTTGGCAAAAACTCACTTATAACAGTTATCCGATGACTTTTATTCAAACGTTCAGCAAGAACCAAAGCAGTCGAAAGTCCAAGGACTCCTCCTCCAACAACGACTATGTCTCTCTTTTGTTGTGACATGATAATAACTAAACAATCTTGTCGGTTCTTAAGGCACAGCACTTCTATATTTGATGAAAAATTCGA